GGCCCACAGCCCTAAGGGTGTCCAGGGAGGTCTGTCTTCCTAGCACTCCTGACACTCACGCTGGGCAGAGGCGGGGTCCTGGGGGGGCCGCACTGGCCGCCGTCCTCACAGCAGAGTGACAGACCCCAGCACCCTTTCAGGACCCGCCGTAGTGGCCTCCCACGCCCACTGGCCTTGACATCTAGCACGTTTACTGAGGCGCGTTTGTAAATGCTGGTGCCGTTTCCACGCGCCTGAGCTAAAGCCAGGTGGGGACAGCTATCCCCTCGTATGCGCACGCGCGCACACATAGACACACACACACAGACACACACACACACACACACAGACGAAGCCCCAGGGTTGTCAGGACGGTTGGTCCTGGCTCTCCTCTGCCGGCATCTGTTCCTGGAGGCTTCAGGGGAAGGGGCGGACACGATCATGCCTCGGGCAGGCTGGGCTGTGATGGGAGGGACACCTCAGAGAGCCACCACCCTGAAGGGCTGGCAGGAGAGGTGTTAGGAGCCCAGACCCCGCTCCCGGCCTGTGGGGCACCAGGGAGGACACCTTCCCCTGAGATCAAACACAGCAGGAGTGAGAGCGGCCCATAAAGGCACCGCTCCGCGGCTGTCATTACCACACCCCTGTCATTAGGGCCCGCCCTGGGCAGTGTCTTGCTCTCGGGCAGGGCCCCCCGGCTCCCCGCAGCTGCCCCCTGAGGCCGTCCCTGCCCACAGGCTTGTCCTGGGAGGAGTGTAAGCAGCGCTGCCCCCCTGGTGTCGTGCCCGCCTGCCACAACTCTGAGGACACAGTGACCATCTCGGGACCGCAGGTGGGGCCTAGGAGGCGAGGCTCGTCCCCAAGTCCCTTCTCCGTCGCTCGGGCGGCCTGGGGGGACAGCCCAGATCCACTCGTCCAGCCCCCTGACATCTCCGTCCCTAGGCTGAGGTGGCTGCATTCGTGGCGGAGCTGAAGCAGGAGGGCGTGTTTGCCAAGGAGGTGCGGACGGGCGGCATGGCCTTCCACTCCTACTTCATGGACTCCATCGCCCCCACGTTGCTTCAGGCCCTCAAGAAGGTGGGCTGGCCACCCTTGGGCGCCCCGGAGGCGGGGGCTCCCGGAGGCACGGCAGCAGGGTCCTGACCCGCGTCCTGTGCACAGGTGATCCGGGAGCCGCGGCCCCGCTCGGCACGCTGGCTCAGCACCTCCATCCCCGAGGCCCAGTGGCAGGGCAGCCTGGCCCGCACGTTCTCGGCGGAGTACAACGTCAACAATCTGGTGAGCCCCGTGCTGTTCCAGGAGGCGCTGTGGCACGTGCCCGGGGATGCTGTGGTGTTGGAGATCGCCCCCCATGCCCTGCTGCAGGTGCGCACTGGTGGGAACCGGGGTGAGGGCAGCAGTCTTGGCACATTGGGGCCAGTGGCCAAGAGAAGCCGGTGGTCTGGGCCCGGGGGCAGGGGGACCCAGTCAGGAAGGCCAAGCCCGTCTGCTCTCCCAGGCCGTCCTCAAGAGAGGCCTGAAGTCCAGCTGTACCATCGTCCCTCTGATGAAGAAGGACCAAAGAGACAACCTGGAGTTCTTCCTCAGCAACGTGGGCAAGTTGCACCTGCTGGGGTGAGTCAGCTGCCCCTGCTGGGGGACCGGGGGTCTGGGCGGGGGTGCGTCCATTCCAGGCTTGTCCCCGGTAACAAGGTGTGTTAACCAGGCCGCAGAGGGAGGTCTTCCCCGGGAAGTGGGCTGGCAGGTGCTGAGCCCTCGCCCTACCCTGGCCTTGCCCCGGGTCTTCTGGGAGACGGTTGGCCGTGGGTAGGACAAGGTAGCCCCAAGCAAGGCCACCTGGGCTGGGCGAGCCCCTCAAACCTTTCCCCCACCCCCAGCTTCGACGTCAACCCCAATGGCCTGCTTCCACCCGTGGAGTTCCCGGTGCCCCGGGGCACTCCTCTCATCTCCCCTCACATCAAGTGGGACCACAGTCAGACCTGGGACGTCCCCACCGCCAAGGACTTCCCCAGCGGCTCCAGTGGCTCCTCTGCCTTCACCGTCTGCAACATCAGTGAGTCGGGGCTGAGGTGGGGCGAGGGGGGGGGGGGGGGGTGCTCCCTCCTGGGCACCGGCACTAAGGCCCAGCCCATGCAGGCATCAGCCCTGAGTCCCCTGACCACTACCTGGTGGACCACTGCATCGACGGCCGCGTCCTCTTCCCCGCCACCGGCTACCTGTGCCTGGTCTGGAAGACTCTGGCACGGACCTTGAATCAAAACATGGAACAAGTACCCGTGGTGTTTGAGGACGTGACACTGCACCAGGCTACCGTCCTACCCAAGACCGGTGAGACGGGCTGGCCGCCAGGGCTGGGGTGGGAGGGCTGGCCGCTGACCCCCGCCGCTGATCTCCCGCCTTGCCGTCCCTAGGGACCGTGCCCCTGGAAGTGCGGCTCCTACAGGCTTCCCGCACCTTCGAGGTATCTGAGAACGGCAACCTGATAGTGAGCGGTGAGCAGATAGATGGTGCCTGGCCCGGCTGCAGGGTCTCCACTGGGCTTGGCCTCCGAGGGGACGCTTGGCTGCCAGCTCCACTCCACCCGCCCACAGGCTCTCCTGTCCCCTTCTGTAGGGAAGGTTTACCAGTGGGAGGACCCCGACAGCAAGCTGTTCGACAGCCCGGACGGCCTGGACACCACGGACCCCACAGCTACGTTCCACCTGAGCCAGAGGGACGTGTACAAAGAGTTGAGGCTGCGTGGCTACGACTACGGCCCTCACTTTCAAGGCATCCTCGAGGCCAACCTCGAAGGTAGGGTGCCAGGTCCCCCCCTCGACACTCCAGGTACGGGCCCCAGGGCCACCTCCCTTAGGGCCGGACCAAGCCTGACCTGCCACCCGGCATCCAGGTGCCCAAGCCGCGTGGAGAGAGGGCCGTTCTGGGGGTGAGGGGCCACCAAGGGCGCCTGGGTCAAGGCATGCGGGGGAGAGGGTGCCACGAGCCTGAGGCCCGCCCAGCCAAGCTGACGGCCCCTCTCCACAGGCAACGCGGGCCGGCTGCTGTGGAAGAACAACTGGGTGACGTTCCTGGACGCCATGCTGCAGACATCCATCCTGGGCCTGGCCCAGTGCGGCCTGCGTCTGCCCACCCGCATCACCTCCGTCCACATCGACCCCGCCACCCACCAGCGCAGGGTGTACTCGCAGGGCGAGGCCCAAGGTAGCCTCACGCCCCAGGGCCCGCACCCCCGTGTCCCTGCACTGGGCACTGCCCGTGCTCACTCAGCCTTTCTCCGCAGCGGTCAACGTGCTGGTGAACCGTTGTCTGAACAGCACGGTGGCCGGCGGCGTCCTCGTCTCGGGCCTCCACGCCTCGATGGCCCCACGGCGGCAGCAGGAGCAGTTTGCGCCCATCCTGGAGAAGTTCTGCTTCACGCCGCACACGGAGGAGGGGCTCCTGGCTGGAGACGCGGCCCTGCAGGAGGGGCTGCAGCTGTGCAGGGGTGAGGCCCAGCCCCCCCCCCCCCCACCGGGACCCGCCGTGGCTTGCCACCTCCTGCTCCCCAGGGGCCTCGACTTGCCTCCTCGAGAGGCTCCCGGACTTCAGGGAGAGCACAGGGAGCCAGGATGGATTCGGGCCACCCCCACCCCAGCTGTGTCCCGGCCAGCCGCCTGGGTGTGATGCCCACGCCGGGGCCCGGCCCCACAGCCCACCCCCTGTGGAGTGCTCGCACCCATGCAGATAGCTGGGGGGTGGTCGGTGGGGGGCTGGGCGCAGCTGGGGAGGTCAGGGTCCCGAGGCCACTCTCTGTGGGGCTCACACCTCGATGGGGAGCACGGCCCCCTCGAACCCCTCTGGAGGCTAGCTCCTAGCCCTAGAGGGCCAGACTGCCCAGGCAGTGGGCATTTGCTGTGGGGGCGGGGGGAGGGGGCTCGGGGAACACCGGCCCAGCTGAGACCCCTGTGCGGTGCCCGTCCCTCCCCAGGGCTGGCACAGGCGCTGCAGACCAAGGTGGCCCAGCAGGGGCTGAAGATGGTGGTGTCCGGGCTGGACGGGGCCCAGGCCCCCCAGGAGCCTCCAAAGCAAGGCCTGCCCCGGCTGCTGGCGGCCGCCTGCCAGCTGCAGCTCAACGGCGGCCTCCAGCTGGAGCTGGGCCAGCTGCTGGCCCAACAGAGGCCCCTGCTGCAGGACGACCCCCTGCTCAGCGGCCTCCTCACTTCCCCGGCGCTCAAGGCTTGCGTGGACACCGCCCTGGAGAACACGTCCAGCCTCAAGATGAAGGTCGTGGAGGTGGGTGCCCGTCCGGACGGTCCAGCGTAACTACGTGTGCGGGCCCAGGCTGGGCAGACCGGACCGGTCCGCGAGCTCACCCGGTCGGAGGCCGTGCTGCCCTTCCGTCCTTTGCCATCCTGCCCCGGGCGCCGAGCAGCGGGCCCGGAGAGGGGATTCCGTGGACGCGGCAGACGGGGCTGACGCCAGCTGGCGGTCTCCTGGGCCAGGTCGGCGGGTGGGCCCTTCTGACAGACGTCACCGGCCCGCGTCGGGACGCCCGCCCGGTGGCGGCCCATCCAGGAAGCTGTCCCCACCTCCAGGTGCTGGCTGGCGACGGCCACCTGTATTCGCACATCCCGGCGCTGCTCGACACCCAGCCCGTGCCGCAGCTGGAGTACACGGCCACTGACCGCCACTCTCAGGCCCTGGAGGCCGTGCAGGCCAAGCTGCAGCAGCACGGCATCGCCTGGGGCCAGTGGGACCCTGCGGACCCCGCCCCTGGCAGCCTGGGCTCGGCCGACCTCCTCCTGTGTAACTGTGCCGTGGCCAGCCTCGGTGACCCGGCCACGGCCGTTGGCAACATGGGGGCCGCTCTCAAGGAGGGCGGCTTCCTGCTGCTGCACGCTCTGCTCAGAGGACACCCCCTTGGAGAGACGGTCGCCTTCCTCACCTGCCCCGAGCCGCGGCGAGGCCAGCAGAGCCTCCTAAGCCAGGTGCAGGGGGGGGGACGGGGGACGGGGGGCCGGGGGGGTGGGGGGGACGGGGGGCGGGGCAAGCACTGACTGCTCCCCCCACGTGCAGGACGAGTGGGAGAGTCTGTTTGCCGGGGCGTCCCTGCACCTGGTGGCCCTGAAGAAGTCCTTCTATGGCTCTGTGCTCTTCCTGTGCCGTCGGCCGGTCCTACGGGACAGCCCTGTCTTCCTGCCTGTGGAGGACCCCAGTTTCCAGTGGGTGAACTCCCTGAAGGTCAGTCTCGGCTGGGCCCCCCAGCACCACGTGCCTGGGCCTGGGGACCCTCCCGGAGGCCAACCCCTCTGTCATCCCGCAGAACATTTTGGCCGACTCCTCCCAGCAGCCCGTGTGGCTAACAGCCATCAGCTGCCCCGACTCAGGCGTCGTGGGCTTGGTGAACTGTCTCCGCAGAGAGCCTGGCGGGCACCGGATTCGGTGAGGGGCTCGACACAGCTGCACGCCCTCTGCCCTGCTTCACCTTCCTGGTGCCCCCCCAACCCCACCCCACGCAGTCTTGTCTCACCTGTGCGGCTGCCCACAGGTGCGTCCTGGTGTCCAACCTCAGCAGCACGTCCCGCACCCCCAGTTTGGACCCCGGCTCCTCGGAGCTGCAGAAGGTGCTACGGGGGGACCTCGTGATGAATGTCTACCGAGACGGCGCCTGGGGGGCCTTCCGCCATTTCCCCCTGGAGCGCGGTGAGTCTCCCCACCCCCCCACCCCCCCGGCTCCTTGCCTTGTAGCGGGGTGGGCTGAGGAGGATGGGGGGCTGGAGACCCTGCCTGGGAAGCCCCCGTGGCAGCCCCGCCTCCTGTCACCCCCAGGCCTGCCGGAGGAGCAGACCGAGCACGCCTTCGTGAACGTCCTCACGCGGGGTGACCTCTCCTCCATCCGCTGGGTCTGCTCCCCTCTGCGTCACACCCAGCTCACCAGCCCCGGCACCCAGCTCTGTGCCGTCCACTATGCCTCCCTCAACTTCAGAGATATCATGCTGGCCACGGGCAAGCTGTCCCCTGACGCCATCCCAGGTACGGGCCGGGTACCACGGGCACAGCCAGGCTCAAATCTCCAGGTCAGGTCAGGACCTGGGAGGAAGAGGGCTCCTTGCCCCGCCAGCGCTCAGGGACCTGAAGGCCTCTCGGGCCTGAGCTCGTACCCTGGGCTGCCCTAGGGAGACGCACGGCTCACCCCCCACCGTCTGTCCCCAGGGAAGTGGGCCCTCCGCAGCTGTCTGCTGGGCATGGAGTTCTCTGGCCGAGACGCCAGCGGCAAGCGCGTTATGGGGCTGGTGCCTGCCGAAGGCCTGGCTACCTCCGTCCTGCTCTCTCAGGACTTCCTGTGGGAGGTGCCCTCCAGCTGGTGAGTCTGTGGGGCTGTGAGTCCAGGGCCCCACGGCCACGGCTGAGGCTGTCCTGAGCTGACCCCTTGCGCCGTGCCCGCAGGACCCTAGAGGAGGCGGCTTCGGTGCCTGTGGTCTACACAACTGCCTACTACTCGCTGGTGGTGCGGGGGCGCGTGCAGCCCGGGGAGACGGTGCTCATCCACTCAGGCTCGGGCGGTGTGGGCCAGGCCGCCATCGCCATCGCCCTCAGCCTGGGCTGCCGCGTCTTCACTACCGTGGGTAGGTCTGCCGGCCCTCCCGGGAGCCTGGGGCTGGCCGGGGCCCCGCCCCCCGCTCCCCCCCCCACCTCCTGTCCCAGCCCTGCAGCCTGGCTCACCGGGACACGCCTCTGCCCGCCAGGGTCGGCCGAGAAGCGGGCGTACCTCCAGGCCAGGTTCCCCCAGCTCGACGACACCAGCTTCGCCAACTCCCGGGACACGTCCTTTGAACAGCACGTGCTGCGGCACACGGCAGGGAAGGGTGAGTGGCTCGAGGGCCTCCGGGGGCGTCCTCGGCACGTCCCTCTGTGTTCTCTGCCCACACCCCTGCCTTCTCCTCTCCCCTTCCTCACTGGCCCAGGCAGCGACAGGGCCTGGCCCTGCGGACCTGGGCCAGGTGTGATAGTGAGGACTCCTCTTCCCCCCACCCCCAAGGTGTGGACCTGGTCCTGAATTCCCTGGCGGAAGAAAAGCTACAGGCCAGCGTGCGGTGCCTGGCCCAGCACGGCCGGTTCCTGGAAATCGGCAAATTCGACCTTTCGAACAACCACCTGCTGGGTGAGGCGGGCAGCAGACAGGGCTGGCGGGCAGGTGGCAAGAGGCCAGCGGCGGGGAGGGGGCGCCGGGTCCACGGGGTAGGCTGTGGGCCCTGAGCCCTCCCGTCTGTCCGCCCAGGCATGGCCGTCTTCCTGAAGAACGTGACCTTCCACGGGGTCCTGCTGGACTCGCTCATGGACAAAGGCGGGAACAGCTGGCAGGAGGTGGCTGCGCTGCTGAAGGCGGGCATCCGGGACGGTGTGGTGCAGCCCCTCAAGTGCACCGTGTTCCCCAAGGACCGGGTGGAGGACGCCTTCCGCTACATGGCCCAAGGGAAGCACATCGGCAAAGTGGTCATCCAGGTGAGGAGGGGGCCCGGCTCCCCCCGCCCCCCCCCCCCCCCCCCGCTCCCCCCGCTCCAGCCCCAGGGGCAGCGCTCGAGCACGGCTGCTGCTCCGACTGCAGGTGCGCAGGGAGGAGCCGGAGGCGGTGCTGCGGGAGACGGGTCCCACCCTGATGGCTGCCGTGTCCAGGATCTACTGCCCGGCCCACAAGAGCTATGTCATCACCGGGGGCCTGGGCGGCTTCGGCCTGGAGCTGGCCCAGTGGCTTGTGCTGCGAGGGGCCCGGAAACTCGTGCTGACCTCTCGCTCTGGGATCCGCACAGGTGAGCAGGCCTGGGGCTGCGGGGGGCACCCGGTCAGCTCAGCCCTGGTGTGCTCTCCGGGTTAGGACCCCCGGTTGGCCTGACCCCACTGCCCCGTGTCCCACAGGCTACCAGGCCAAGCAGGTCCGTGAGTGGAGGCGCCAGGGCATACAGGTCCTGGTGTCCACCAGCAACGCCAGCTCGCTGGATGGGGCCCAGAGCCTCATCGATGAGGCCACGCAGCTGGGGCCCGTGGGAGGCGTCTTTAACCTGGCCGTGGTGAGTGTGATTCTGAAGGGGCCGGAGCCGGCCACCCAGGGAAGGTTCTCCCAGGCCGAGCCTCCAAAGGCGTGAGGTCGGGGCAGGTGCTGAGGGTCCCTCGTCCCCAGGTCCTGAGAGACGCCATGCTGGAGAACCAAACCCCTGAGCTCTTTCAGGACGTCAACAGGCCCAAGTACAGCGGCACCGTGAACCTGGACAGGTGAGGCGGACGAGCCCCCCTCCCGTCCCCATCCCCCGACACGGCCTTCCCACGGCTGCCCGGGGACCAGGCCACAGGCCTCCGTGGGGTGGGGGTTTAGGGAAGCGGAAGCAGACGGGCAGGTGGGGACCCTTGGGCGCGTCGGCAGGTGGGCTGGGCCAGCCAGCAGGGGTGTGACTCAAGCGCCCACAGGGTGACCCGAGCTGCGTGCCCCGAGCTGGACTACTTTGTGGCCTTCTCCTCTGTGAGCTGCGGGCGCGGCAACGCCGGCCAGACCAACTATGGCTTCGCCAACTCCACCATGGAGCGCGTGTGTGAGAAGCGCCAGCACGATGGCCTCCCGGGTGAGCCCGTCCACTCCTCGCCCGGCAGCCCCCGCCTGCCGCTGCCCCCCCTCGGGCCCGCGCTCACTCCGGCCCCCCTGGCCCCGTCCCGTAGGCCTCGCCATCCAGTGGGGCGCCATCGGTGACGTGGGCATCGTCCTGGAGTCCATGGGCTCCAACGATACGGTCATCGGCGGGACGCTGCCGCAGCGGATTGCTTCCTGCTTGGAGGTGCTGGACCTCTTCCTGAACCAGCCCCACCCCGTCCTGAGCAGCTTTGTGCTGGCCGAGAAGAAGGCCACTGCCCACAATGACAGCAGTGGCCGGCAGGACCCGATGGAGGCCGTGGCCCACATCCTGGGTGAGGGAGACGCCTTTGCACACTGGCAGACGCTCTGCTCCCCCAAGCCTCAGTGTCCCCGGCTTTAAGAGAGGCCCTGCTTTTTCGCCGAGGGAGGGACGGGCACCAGGGGTCCACACAGAGCCGGGTGGGGGTTGCATGCCAACCGCAGTGACGCGGCCCTCCCTCCGGAGACCTGGCCCCTGAGGCGTCCGGCCCCGCTCCCTTTGCCAACCGAGCGCCTGTCCCCAGGCATCCGAGACTTGGCCACCGTCAACCTGGACAGCTCGCTGGCAGACCTGGGCCTGGACTCGCTCATGGGCGTGGAGGTGCGCCAGATGTTGGAGCGCGAGCATGACCTGGTGATGTCCATGCGGGACATCCGGCAGCTCACGCTCCGGAAGTTGCAGGAGCTTTCCTCCAAGGCTGGCACAGCTAATGGTGCGTGACCGAAGGGAGAGCAGCTGGAGGAAGGGGAAGGCCCCTGGGCCACCGTGGCCCGTGCTCCTCTTACGGGGTCTGGGGTGCACGTGCCTTGGCATCGTGGCATCAGGGCCCATCTGTGCCATCGGCCCATGGGCAGGTCAGGTTTGTCCATCTGGACCCTTCCTGAGAGCCCTCAGTGGGGCCCAGTGCCGCCCACCCCCAACCCCAGTCCCGTAGCCTGGGTCAGCGGTGGGGGGGGGGGGGGGGGGGAGGGGGGAGGTATTCACGTGCCGGGGGACCTGTGTGCCCCTGGCCCTCCTTCACACCCGCTCCTCCTCGCAGAGCTGGCAGCCCCCACACCCAAGGAGGACACCCCTGCCGGCCCGCAGGCCCAGCTGAACCTCAGCACCCTGCTGGTGAACCCCGAGGGCCCGACCTTGACACGGCTCAACTCGGTGCAGAGCTCTGAGCGCCCCTTGTTCCTGGTGCACCCCATCGAGGGCTCCATCACTGTGTTCCACAGCCTGGCGTCCAAGCTCAGCATCCCCACCTACGGCCTACAGTGCACTCGAGGTGCGACCCGGCCAGCCAGGCTGTCTCCAACCCCTGATGACGCGGGATGGCGTGCCTGTCCCCGCCCCCGCCCCCCGGGGGAGGCCCCTCCTGCCCACGGCTGAGCCTCCTTCTGCCCCACAGCCGCGCCCCTGGACAGCATCCAGAGTCTGGCCGCCTACTACATCGAGTGCATCAGGCAGGTACAGCCGGAGGGGCCCTACCGCATCGCCGGCTATTCCTACGGGGCCTGCGTGGCCTTCGAGATGTGCTCGCAGCTGCAGGCCGCGCAGCAGGGCCCCACCCCCGCGCACAACAGCCTCTTCTTGTTCGACGGTTCGCACGCCTATGTGCTGGCCTACACACAGGTGAGGGCCCCGGTGGGGGCGGCGGACTCCCGACCCCATCCCCAGGGTCCCGGCCCGGCCAGCGGCTCCAGCAGCCCCTCTTTCCCTGCAGAGCTACCGCGCGAAGCTGACCCCTGGCTGTGAGGCTGAGGCTGAGGCCGAGGCCATGTGCTTCTTCGTGCAGCAGTTCACCGACATGGAACACAACAGGGTGGGTCCTGCGAGCCAGCGGGGGGCAGAGGGCGGAGGGGGGGCGGCAGCGGAAGAGGGGGGTCCCCCCCCCCGGCGGCGGCCTGGAAGCCCACCCTCCCCCACAGCACAGTCTCAGGGCCCCACCCCGCCCCGGGCAGCCTGTGGCCGACGCAAGGCTCAGAGACCCTTCCCGCAGGTTCTGGAGGCGCTGCTGCCCCTCAAGGGCCTGGAGGAGCGCGTGGCGGCCACCGTGGACCTGATCACGCGCAGCCACGCGGGCCTGGACCCCCGCGAGCTGAGCTTCGCGGCGCACTCCTTCTACCACAAGCTGCGCGCAGCCGAGCAGTACATCCCCCGGGCCACCTACCACGGCAACGTGACGCTGCTGCGCGCCAAGACGGGCAGCGTGTACGGCGAGGGCCTGGGCGCCGACTACAACCTGTCCCAGGTGTGCGACGGCAAGGTGTCCGTGCACGTGATCGAGGGGGACCACCGCACGCTGCTGGAGGGCAGCGGCCTGGAGACTATCCTCAGCATCATCCACAGCTCCCTGGCCGAGCCGCGCGTCAGCGTCCGGGAGGGCTAAGCGCCCGGGGCCCAGGGAGGGTCCTGCGGGTGGGACCGCCCGGCCCAGACCCCTGCCCACGGCCGCCTCTCCTCCCTCGCGACCGCGGGCCTGGGGCGGTGGGCGGATGGGGGCTGCGCCGCCGACTCGGAGACCCGCCTCGGTCTGTGAAGAGTCGGCCTGGCCGCCGGCCGAGCAGAGCCTCGTGCGCCGCGTGGGGCCTGCCACACAGGCCTGTTCCTCGGTTCTCCATTTGATTCTCCTATTTAT